TTTTCTCACGTGTTACACTTTGCCGCCTCCGCTCGAGCAACCCCTCTCCACAAGAGACGAACTACGAATTTTTCAGGAAATCGCCTCACATCATAAATTCCACCTTAAAATCTATCTATAGGCAGCTAAACAGCTGAACGAAATGGAGGAAATTATGTGGCAACAATTGCAAACCGTGTTGATTCCGAACCCTCACCTGTACAGTAAATGGCATAGGAAGTGTTTAATTCCACATGTGCGCACTGTAATATCACTGCAGGTTTAGTGCACATGGTCTAAACCAGCCCTTCCTGCAATGATTCAAGTAGAAACATAGAATCTCGAGATGCCTTATTACACAGCCACCACGCTGAAGAACATCAAGTCATCAGTCTCGCCCTGATTGCCGCCGAGTTCCAAGGTATTCCGGCCGATGGCTATGGGGATGATCGGGGGCAGAGGCTGAAGCCTCCTCCACGTCATTCTAGAAGGGTGCAAATAAACCTTATTTCTCTCACACGCATTCAAAGAGTTGTCCGTCGGTGCTGCCAGCAGTATGTTTGTTTGCCTGCCTGCTTGCAAACAGCAGAAAAACGTGAGCTCGGCGTCCGCCATCGCTCTTAAGGGGAGATGCTGTTTGAAAAATGAGTTTTTTTTCAATATCACCGATTTTTTATTTTAACCTGTTTTATAAGATTGACTCACCAGCGCTCAAGATCGGGCCAACGACCACGCCGACGATCAGGGTGAGCAGGTACCACATCTTCGCTCTCTACTGTTATGAAAAAAAAACATACAGGTTGAGACTTAACTGGAGATGCTTTGAAGTTGCATCTAAAGAGCACAAGGTGCCTGTTAAAAGGTCCAAAGCGTGCAGTCTTCGAGCACCTTGCCGCCGATAATGCGCCGCCGCTCGCCATTGTTGATCGCATGAGCTAAAGAGGCGAGTCTCACTTTTCAAACAACAACAGTTTCTCTTGCTGATGTAGGGCAAGAAATAATAAAAAGAAGCACGCTTTTGTGCGTTTCTTGAACGCTGTGACTGGCTTATCATGTGGTACGGATCGGGGGACCGTCATTGGCCTTTGCGCGCATGTATGTGCTGTAAAGCCTATTTTCAGGGTCCATGTCTTGCTGAGCAGCGCAGCTAAACAATGCTTTTCTCGCGTAATTATCTCCGTTATGAATGAAAAAAGCCATTGCTCTCAAGTGAAAGCCGTTGTGCGGCGCGCTCTGTAGGAATAGGCTACGAGCAACTGGTCCGATTTGCGGCAGTTGTTGGCTTACAAAAGCCAATGCATCAAAAGTCATTCACACCCGTCAGCCGGAAAATTCGTAATGTGGCAATGGATGACGTCAGCGCCAATCTTGTGAGGTCGAAAGAGCTCGCAGTGAGAGAACTTAGCAGGGACGAAATTGCCATTATGTACGACGGCATGTGGCACAAACATGGCCACAAAATGGCATGACACTGGACTTAGTTTGGATTCGGCAGTCCTGTCGAACTTCTTCCTAGCTTGCAGTTGGCACATGACTCTGCCGGATGGAGCTGAAGTTTGGCAAGCGTTTTATGGCCCCATCTGTGAGCGAAATATGTGTGAGGATTCGGCTCGAAAAAGACGAGAGGGACAAACTTATGGTGCTGGCATATTTTAGTGGCAGTGGCCACTACAAAAGAATTGTTCTTTTTGGTTGTCAAATTTTAAATAAAACTCAATTCTAACTTTAAATCTCCTTTTTCTCAAAACACAAATTTTACAATATTTTTTTCAATGTGCCCCTTCTTTTTCGGGCACTTCTAGTACTCGGATCTGCATGAAATTTTGCCCAAATTGTTTAGAAAGTATGACAAATGCAATTATCTAGTTTAAATATCAATATTTTATTGTCTAGTAAAAAATTGTATGTAAACCTTTACTAGGGTAGATGAAATATGAACTTTTTATGTCTATTGTTTTTCACGCCTATTACATATTTTGTATATGCTTCCTGATTAGTTATTTGAATTCTACACTTTATTTCAAGCATGAACTATGAATGGTAAAAAATTACACGGAAGTTCAGGGATGAAAAGAGGGGGGGGGGGGGGGGCAGAAGGGTTAAGGTTTTCACTTTGTCATGTTGCAGAGCTAAAAGTATGCAACTGGCAAGAAAACTAATTATATATTTGAAATCAGACTAAATAGTTCCATAAACAGCCCACGTTGCATTGCTATGGGGTGAATATTAAAAAAAAGCGTCTTCTAGTAGCATCTCCCCTTAAGAACAATTTTTTTGCGTGCCTTGAACGATTACTGAGGTATTTGTTTTATTCAACAAAACTTGATAATGGCCTGCTATGGGCAGTGTTATGGGCATTGGTCCCACGGATTAAAGGAAACTGAATGAAGATCGAGTAATTCTGTGTTAAAAGTGACTACACACTTTCCAGAGAAACTGCTGCAAAGTCAGGCACTTCATATGGTACGCTTTTTATTGTGACACAAAATATAACAGCAGTGAAGGGTGGTAGACTGTCCCTTTAATTCAATGAGCGGCAGTGCTGAACGTTACAGTCACTGTAGTTCGGTGCGGCTTCGCCCACGTTTGTGTTATCGTCCCTAAATTACGTCAAAGAACGCACTTCAAGAACTAAGCTTATGGACAGGAGATGCGAACAAGGAGGAGTTATTTTCCTCTGCGCATAGGACATAACCACAAAAGAATAATTGCACAGTGGACATTATTCTGAATGCTAGCGGTGGTTTTAGTTACAGTCGGACATAATACTGGCGGTGTGGTGTGACTGTGGCTGTAGTTATGCTTGGATGTAACACTAGCTACACCGTTGCTTAACAGACTTTCTTGCAGTGCTGTTAATTAAGGGAAGACACTGGTCTGAAAATTTTTTTTTAATTTTCAGTATTTCCTGCTGAAATTTTAATACAATATGTATTTTTCACAGCTGAAAACAAATATGCAATTAGTTTCTTGCTATCACTTTTAGATATTTAAATATTGACTGTTACATAAACTTGCATTCTGCCCAGCCTTTTGACATCTTCCTCATAAAATATTGCTAAAATTTGATATGACAGCATTCAATGAAGGCCAGGGAGTGCAACAAAATCATAATTTTATTTTTAGCTTCATAGGTACCAGAGTTATGGCCTTAACAAGTATACTCATTAGAAATCTGAAACTGTTGCTTAAGTTTGTTGCTAATTAAATCACTATTGTAAATAAAAATATTTCATTTTTTTGGTTTTCTTGCACTAATCAATGTATAAGCATTCAAATGCTGCAAGAATGATCAAAATCCGACTGCTACATCAAAAGATACTGTGGGCAATGGCTTAGGGTGTGATGAAAAATGTTGTTTTGAGAAAACGAGAAAGGAAGTTTAGGAACATGTTGAGCACTTACATTTATCAAGAAAAGGTGTGAATCAGTGCATTAACCATGTTAGAAGCCACCAGGAATGTAGTCATCATCATTCTTCTTGGTGCGCTTTCTTTTCATGGCATGCTTGAAGTTTTCAGCATGCTCATGCTTCTTCTCCGATGCCACTAGTCGGCGACTGTGTTTTTCTGAGCATATTTCAGCGGCCACAACACTCTGCTGCAGGTGCAGCTCCTTCAATATGGCGGCATCTGCTCTCCCTTTGCCAGCGTTGAACCTTGCGACAGTTTCAACCACAGCAGCTTCAACAGTGAAAAGCGACGCATGTTTTTTTTTTTTTTTGGACACGAGCGATCAGATGACGGAGTGCAGGCTCTCGTGTGGGTTCTGTGTTTCATTTTGTGGGTTCATTTTTGTGGGTTCATTTTCAATTTCACATAATCCTGGTATGTCTTCGTGTGCAGGCCTCTCCGTGAAATATTTAGGGTGGAAAAAATATCGTTGAGCGCAGTTTGCCCGTTTTCTGTGCTCATTGCCACGCGAACCGCGAGCACGTTAATTTCAAAGGGGCCGTGCGCTGCGTCCCCCCCTGATCTCGGCGAGCTCCATACGGTCCTCAGTTTACCGCACTCGTCACATGTGAGAACAAGTTTCGCGGCTATGCCATATTCGCGGTCTTCCTTGGAGATTCTGCCAGGCCCGCCACACACACCGCACTTCATACATTGAAGAAGTTCATTGACCAACTCTAAGCTAACGACGGTGACCGGCATGCCAGGCGTTGCGGCTCCATCCGAGTCTCGAAAAAAGACCGCTTGCATTTTGTGGCAGACTTCAATGAAAGACCTTGCAGAACTTCGCTCGCACGACACTCGATGGCCACTTTTTCAGCGTCGAAAACCAGGGGAGTGTCGACGCGCACAGCTCTCGTGTGATCTTGGGACGCGCCTATCACGTCCGTGATCGCGGGTGCCGCGACGGTGATAGTGCTGGCACAGCCTGCTTCTTCCGAGTTTTCAGCGGCAGAATGTCTCGCTGGTGATAAGGTGCGATCTCTCGGACGCCGTTTTCGCCTTTTTTTGAACGCATGAGCACTCGAGAACTTCCGATGACCGCCTGCCATTGCACCGAATGCACAGCCGTTGTTAGGCCTCTACGCAAAATAGCGGCTTGCACGCAGCTGTCTAGCAGACGAATCCCTTCGCGTCCAATAGGAAACCGGGAACTGCCCCACGTGACAAAAACGCACCAATGATGTGCGAGTATTCAGTTTTTCTTTATGCGCGATAGCTGCGTTGTTGCTAGACGAAAAACGTTCTTCTGCTAGGAACAGATAATAGAAAAATGCGTCTTTAAAATGAGACCAAAACGGCCACGCTACTTGGTGCGGTTCTCGCGCGCTGCGGCGTTGAATACGACCGTTTTTGAGGTGGTTTCGGAAGCGAAAATGGTCGTCAAACTGACTTTACGACCCAATAACTCGTCAAATACGCATTACAGGGCTATAATATTTTAGGAACAGCTTCCTTAGACCTTAATGATTAGGAAAAAAAATACTTCAAAAAAATCGGTTTTTCAGAAAATTTTCGGCCTCCCATACCCGTGTCTCCCCTTAAGCAATGTCTTCTTTTTCATGACAGCCTCTTCCAGACGCAGTCTGCAAGCAGCTGCGAGTATCCAAGACTCAGCAGCAAATAGTGCCTACCATGGTGCACTACCAAAGCTTACTGCTGCCTTGGTACCACGGAAAAGACCAACACTTGCTTCTGAGTGATCCCACACTGCCAAAACACTTCAGCTGGACCCTAGAAAGGCTTGGTCTTGTGCCAAGCTTGCACCCGAAAAAATGACTCCTGTGTGTAGGTGCCATGTGTGCTATGGTCTAAGCGTGTAATGCGAATGAGTGATATTGCATGACAGAAACTCATTTGTACTGTCAGTTTATGAATTCGCTTGCCCTAGGCCCAGGATGCTCTAGAAAAGCAATAAAAGCAGCCCATCACTACGAAATTGCTCGACTTCGCTGTGTTTATTTTACCATTGTTGAGATCTTAATGGCGTCCTAATCACATCACACCAGCGACTGCATTGCAACAGAGGTGGTGCTCATTGAAGAACCTCAAGTGGTTAAAATTTCTGGAGCCCTCCCCTACAGAGTCACTCAGTATAATTATGTGAGGTAAGGAAGCGGAAATTTTTTGTTATACTTTGTTAGACACAATAGTATTGAGAACTAACAGACAACACTGCCAAGTATAGAGGATGTTGAAATCAAAAGTTTGACGAAAGCTTGTCTGCTTGGGAATAATCATGGTCGGAAGGTAAAAGCAAAATGCCAACCAAGAAACATTACACAGACGTTTCAGCTCCCGTGCGGTTCAGATTTTCGTGAACCAAGACCTTCGTATGAGAGTATGAAACATATTTATAATGTCTTTTGGTCAGCACCTTGCTTTCACTTTTTGACTAATGGCCGCGAGATCGAGCATAGTCGCCGCCTGGTGGCGACTGGCCGAAGAGGTGAAGTGTGGATTGCTTGGTACGTCATCTGCTAGCCACGTCGTGTTTCTATGTGCACATTTATCAGGCACGTTCTCAAAGTGTAGTTTGTCTGGTCATGTCAGTGCGAGTGTAACTGTTTTTAGGTTTGCCTGAAACGACGTACGAAAGCATTTGGTCTTGCTCGGCTGCTAGTGCATTGTAATAAGATTGGCGAGTGCAACTTTCCAGAGTGCTGTTTATTGTCATCGTACCCTCGATTCACCAAAATAATTTCAGAGCGGGTGCCGCTTCCTGTTTTAAGCACATCCCAAAATGCTCTTGGTATCCTCCCAAGCACGACGATTATAAATTGGTGTGTGAATGCTGTGCTTTACAGCAACTCTGTTGTTAAAAAAAAAACAAAAAACACTCTAAGCCATGCACGTGCGCGCTGTTGGTAGGTGTACAACTACGACACTGTAATTTACCAATCATGGGAGGAGCCTTAGGTGTGTTTATCTGGACGTGGTACCACTACATAGAAATATTATTATAACATGAACTATGACACATCACTACTTAAAATGTGCTTAAAACAGAGTTACCGTGCACCACCATGTGCTTGGATTTAAAGGGGCTCTGCGACACTTTTGGGACAGCCATATTTAACACCGGAACATGTGTAGCAATTGTTACTGAGATGAATGCAACAAGAATAATGAAAATTCGTGTGCGGAGAGTGAAGTTATGAGCCCTCCAAGTTCAAAACTTGAGTAGACGACAGTGAGAAACGTTCTCTTTCGCATTTCACTCGCCTGCCGACGTCAAAGACCACTTCGAATCACAGCGGGCAGCTTATAAAAACATACCGAAAACGTCATCTCATGGTGGCCTTCATACAATGTCTCGCTACCGTTCTTTTTGACGGCATTGTTAGCATGGTTACTACAAACCACGTGCGTCGGGTAGCAGACACCTCCACGGTCAAACTGTGTAAGATGCACACGTACGTTTTGGGCATTGTAACTTCTTGGCTTGCTTGAAAGACGCTTTCTACGGCAACGCTGGCGCCCGCCGTCTGTCAAATTCTTGGCTCACTAAAAACGCGGCATGCGTTTCTACTTTTAGTTGCTGGCGTACCATAGCCTTGTTTGCAGGCTAAGTGCTGTGTTCATTGTTCTACAAATACGTCATTTAGAAATGGGAATGATTTCTTTCTGAGAAGGTGTAAAAACGTTTTTGCTGCTTTTAGTATTCGCTTGTGTGGCATTGTTTGCGACCAATGGAAAGCAGTAGTAATTTTTTGTCTGAAAAGAAAAAAAAAACATGCACTTCCCATTAACCAGGCCTTTGAAGTAGCACTGTCATGCATGTAATCCATCAATGAAAGCTTTTTGCTGAACTATTATATAAGATTTTTATATATATGTATTTTTTACTGGTGCAAGGACATGTGCGTACACATAATAATTACAGTGTGGCGTAAAAGTAGTCAGTCTGGCTAAGGTACTCGGCTGCTGACCCGCAGGTCGCGGGTTCAAATCCCGGCTGCGGCGGCTGCATTTCCGATGGAGGCAGAAATGTTGTAGGCCCGTGTGCTCAGATTTGGGTGCACGTTGAAGAACCCCAGGTGGTCAAAATTTCCAGAGTCCTCCACTACGGCGTCTCTCATAATCATATGGTGGTTTTGGGGTGTTAAACCTCACATATCAATCAAAGCGTAGTCAGCCACTGAGCTTTCCTGACTACACTTATCGACTGTCCCACATTTCATGGTGAACAGAATGAGAGAAAAAAAATCATATGCGTATAAGGTGGGAACGGTGGTACTGAACAAATCGCATAGATATGCGGGCTTTCTATGATCTTTCTCTATATTTTGTTGTATACACATGAAAAAGAAGTAAATAAGTACAGTCGAATCTCATTGATTCAACACGCTTAATTCAAACTCACTGAGGTCCCGTCAAAGCTATGTGTATTCCAGTGGGCGAAAATGCCCGGCATTTCGAATGCGCAAGCACTTGCGACGGTTAATTCGAACATACTGCACCCTGAAAATGCTCTCGGCACCCTGCCTAATCGCGCGGCGGCACCTCCGACACCTCAACGGTGCGCGCGAAGAAAAGGAAAAGGCTGCGGTGGAATGTTCTTTCTCTCTTATATGCTGATCTGCTGCGCGCCTGCGCCACGCTTCTCTCTTTCCTGCCCCTGCCCCGTAAAGACTATTCTCCTTATAACGCCGTGCGCAAAGAAAGAAACAGGAAAAAAAAAGAAAGCTGTTGCGGAGTGTCGGCTCTCTTTCACGCACCAGTGCCACTCTTCGCCCTTTCCCATCCTGCCACGCAACCTTTCTCCTTTCAACAACGAGCGCAAAGAGAGCGAAAAAAAAAAAGGCTGCCGTGGAGTGTTCGTTCTCTTTTAAATGCCAATCTGCTTTTCTTCACGTAGAGACGCTCCTCCTTTCTCGTCACAGTGCTGGCCACACTGCGGCTTTGGCAGAAAGGGTAGTAACGGAGATGCAGCCATTGTTGTCTTTAGAGTGTCGGCTCTGGACATAGCCGCGCGCAAGTTCTCTTGCCAGGAGAATGCTGAAGCCGAAGTAGACTTACCTTGCAAGCTGTGCGCAGAATTGACTCATTGCAAGGCAAACGTGTGCAAATGTGCATAACCCGATTAGTTGAATTAATGACAGATGTCATGTGATTTGTGAATAAATGTAAGTCTTCTGAAACTTCCCCCTCGTGTGTTAGCGCAAAGCACATGCGCCACTGCTTGGAGAGCCTTCTGTTTATTTAGCTTTTATTAATTAGAACTTCCTTTAATTTGAACAAACTTTCGGGCCCCTTCGAGTTCGAATTATCGAGATTCAACTGTAGTTCAGTCACGCTACAGCAGTGCATAGCAGGCGGAACACAACAAACAACACAGCGAAAGCGTGACTTAGTGCGAAAGCGTGAACAGAGTCACCCAGGGCGAGCACCCTATAAAAGGCAGAATGCGCTTTACTCGCTGGTAATGTTAACGTTGCATAGGCATCGTGCACTGATTCAGCAGAGAAAAGCGTAGATATTGTCACGGGGTAAGAGTAGGCATTGTATAGAAATATATTTACAGAATGTACACGGAGCACTCTGTGTCCTTGAATTAAAATAACAAAGTGGCAACAACAACACGAGCTTTTGTTCAATCGTCATCTTCGTCGCCTTCATGGTGCATTCGTTGATGTTAATGATAACTTGTATCATATAGCCGCCACCGGTGAAAGCACCGTCTCGGCGCTTAAGAAAATGTGCGATCCTGCGCAGAGAAGTACGGCTTAAAGTGGGAGACGTGTACAATATCAGCGGACGGCAAGGACAATGAGGATGGAGTGTCCACGGAGGCGATCTCGTAGGTGACCTTGGTCAGTTGGCGCAAGACTTCGGAAGGCCTGTTGTAGCGAGCGAGGAACTTCGAGGACAGGCCAACGTGACGGTAACGAGTCCAGAGGAAGACCAAGGATCCTGGGGAGCAAGAGACAGCTCTGTGACAGCTGTCGTAGAGATCCTTTTGAGATAGCTGTGAGGCAGAAAGGCGATCCCGGGCAATCTGGCGGGCCGCTCGAGCCCAAGTAGTTGCATAGGGGCCGCTCGAGCCCGAGTAGTTGCATCGCGAGCGTACTCGGTAGGAGTCTCAGTATGTGACGGCAGAAGAATGTCAAAAGGCAAACTGGGGTGATGGCCGTACAAAAGATAGAAGGGAGAAAAGCCAGCGGTGTCGTGTCGGGACGAGTTGTAGGCATACGTCACGTAAGGCAAAGTGGCATCCCAATCACGATGATCTGCAGAGACATACATGGATAGCATTATTGTCGGTGTGTAGTTAAGGCGTTCAGTGAGTACATTTGTTTGCGGGTGGTAACCAGTGGGGAGTTTATGACATGTGGAACACGAGCGAAGAATGTCATCCACAACCTTGGAGAGAAATTAACGACCACGGTCGGTCAGCAGTTGAGGCGGCGCTCCATGGTGGAGAATAACATCATGAAGGAGAAAGTCCGCGACATCAGTAGCACAGCTTGTCGGTAGCGCTCGCGTGTTGGCAAAGCATGTCGCGTAGTCTGTAGCCACCACTACCTACTTATTCCCACTCAGAGATGTTGGAAATAGTCCAATGACATCGAGGCCGACGCATTAGAACAAGTTTGTTGGAATGTTGATAGGCTGAAGTTGGCTGGGTGGTGCCAATGAAGGATGCTCGCGGCACTGGCAAGACTCGCAAGATGCAACGCATCGGCGCACAGAGCGGTAAAGGCCGGGCCAGAAGAATCGACGCCGTACGCGGTGATACATGTGGGCAGCCCCGAAATGTCCAGCAGTTGGGGTATCATGAAGTTGTTCGAGCACAGTGGGGCGGAGCGTTGCAGGAAATACCAAGAAAAGTTCTGGGCCTTCGGTGCTTGTGTCGTGGCGATAGAGAATTCCGTCATGAAGCGTGAACAGGCGAAGGGAAGGATCCAAGGTGTCAAAAGCTAGATGGCGTATGAT